AAGTAAGATAAAAACACTCTATACTCACTCGGACCCGGCGCCATCAGCCCTGGTTGCCCCGGACCAAACCTAACGCTGGCAGCGGTTGCTCGCTCCTCCGAGGTGAGGAGTCCAGCCATGATATCACCTACAAAGCAACAAGTACACGGTATTAGCACTTGGTACAATACATAAACAAATAAACCGGGCGAAGACAGTAAACACAAAAATATGCGCCAAACAAACTTACTCATAAAAAGCCTAGGATGGGCCGCCTGCCGAGTCCCCTGGGCAGATATCTCCGCCATATCATGCGGCAAAGGCCCAAAGGGCCAGCTCTCCTCGACCAGTGGCTTTGGTGGGCGGAGGGCTCAAAGAATCTCGAGCCGCCGGTGCTGCTCGTCAGCAAGCACGGCCTCCGGCTGCCCGACGTCTGCCGCTGGCGTGGAGGAAGGCGCAACAACGGTGGAAAACGAAGGAGCGTGCTGCAAGGCGACCTCCGCGCCATCTTCAGAACTTGAATATAGCTCGCCAAAAATGTCAGGCATAGGATCGGTGGCGCTAGCCTCCGGCTGTTCGGCGACACTCGTAGCACCGTGCAAGGAGCACGCCGGAGCAGCACTGGCCTCCGGACGCCCAACACCGCTCACAGCGCCGCTCACAGGGCGCACCGGAGCTCCAGGAGAGCCACGATCGTCGCCGCTCGTGACCCGCACATCCACTGATGGGACGGAGGAGCTCTAAACGTCTTCATTGCCGGCGGAGGCAACACCAGCACTACCGGCCGAAGACGCGGCCGCCGCGATCACTAGAGCACCGGTCTTCTTCTTCTTTTTCGCAGACGCCTGAGTTACAGCGGTGCCCTTCCTCTTCTTGGACTCGGCCTCCGCCGTAACATTCTTCGCGAAGGTCTTCTTCTTCTTGTCAATTGAAGCTAGGACCTCAGCGGGAACCTCGCACTCCCAATAGACGATCCCGAGCTCCTCAAAAACACGATTGAGCCATGGCATGGTGCCTGCCACGGCTCTCCGAGACGTGTACTCACGCTGAAATTTTGCCAACCAACGCGGTGGCCCCTCAAAGCAATGAAGTCGTCCTCCCCGTCACCCCTCCCTAAAGACCAAACCAAAGCGGGGAAAGGAATCTCGGCCTCCGGACCAAAAGCAGGAACCTTCACCTTTTCCGGCCCGAAAGGCATGTTGTCCTTGCCCGGGGGCGATGGTTTGAGGCCATAATCTCCTCCACCGGTCGCGGTCCCGGAGTAGCGGCACGCGCAGCCATAAAAAGTCCCGGTCGCAAGCCTTCTCGCGCGGAGACTTTTCCTCCGGTGGATCCATCGCAGCGTATCTGGCGCCATCTCCTCCATTCTTGAAGTCAATGGATACTCCACGACCTCCGCACCATCCTCGGTAGTGCCGCGGACCCCGTAGGTCTTCACGTAGAACCACTGCTCAAGCCAATCGTGGTCCCACTTGCCCTTCTGGCAAAAAGAAAGCTCCAGGCGGTCTACGCCTTGGTTCCTCTTCGACATAAAGGTGCAACTACCATACTGGTAGGTCACCTCCACCTCCTTGCCCTCCCGCACCTCCTTCTTCTTCTTGGTGCTGCGCGACTCGTAGTCTCTGTGAGAAGGTGTCCACATCCGGCTCGTCACCACAAAAAACACACGCCCAAAAAAAATTTGGCGTAAGGAAGGAAGGTCGTAGGGGTCGGGATGGTGAACCTAGACGTTGAACGTCTCCAACACCCGGTGGAGGAAGGGGACATAAGGAAGGCGAAGGCCGCAGGTGAAAAAGTCCCAAAACACCACCGCATACCCCTCCTCGGCGGCCGGAACGGTCTGGCAGGAGGAGAGGATTTTACCCTCAAAGAAGGAAAATACGATTCATTCAACATCTCGCGACCGCCTCTTGATGAATGGAGGAGGGGCCAAAATCCCATGACTTTATCGCCATGTCTCTAGAATCATGAGCGATCGGGTCTCGACGGACGCGGAGAGACACTCCCAAATCCTCCTCCACTAGCTTTTCAAATTCCAGGAGGCGGAGGCAAGCATGCACTCCTCAAAGCGCGCACCTCACCGGGCGGCCCCTTAACCGAGAAGGTGGCGATAGGGTCCGAAAAAAAGGCGGGCAGCGAAGTATGGGCGGAGCGGAAAAGGAAGCCACCGCATGGCAACCTAGGTGGAAGATGCAAGCGGAAAGACGGAACGCGCGAAGGCAGCTCAGGCGAAACCGAAGAGAGCAGAGAGCGATTTCTCAGAGGCAAGGAAAGCAAATGAGCAGTGCGGGGGGAGGGGGGAACCCGCAACCAACCCCGCCCTTATATAGGACGCGGGCGAGCGGTTCAGCTACCGCCGACAACGGTCATCTCCGGACAATTCTTTGCCGCCCAACGGTCATCTCCGAAGAAGTCGCAAGGTATACAACGGAAAGCTGTCACGGGTAAATAAATGGCCTGGCAGAGGACAACGGCTAGTTTTGCAGCCTAACGGCTACTATGACAAGACCAGCGACCACGCCAGAGCGGGCCAGGGGGGAACCTGCGGGGATCGGTCGGAGACGTGACTACGCGAGCTCCGCCGCCCAGACGCCCTTTCTTAGGGCGTTTTGAGTTCACGACACGCTTCGGACGGACCGTGGTCTCAAAAAGGGGGCTGTTGTAACACGGCCTCGAGAGTGGCGGAGACCTACGTGGCTAGCGATTCGCAGAGGCGTCTCCGACCGACTACCTAAGCAAAGGGCCCTGGCTACCACGCCTCGCAGACCTAGAAAGATGCGGTTTCTCGGATCGCTTGCGGGGCGCCGCCGGTGACCTGGCGCGAGCCTCCGCCTTGATTAGCTCGTGGCGTCTCCGGCGGGGGGGGAGGCCGCCCGCTGCAAGGCTAATCAAGTGCCAACGTTTATCTACGTGTGTGTGTAGGTAACGAGAGGAAGGCGCTTCGTGGGGCGGTGCTGGCAAGCGCGCCGATCGGCCTCCACTGCATGGGCGAGAGACCCAAGCGGGAGGACGATAATCTTTGGCGTCGGGGTCTCTGCCTCGGCGTCCAGGCGGAGGCCTAAAGGCCCCATCGTCGAATCTCGAGGCCCGATGGGCGGTGATCGCAGCAGAACCCGAGACTGAGGCGGCAAGACAAGATTACCCCCGAGAAGAAAGGTGAGTAGTGGGATATTCCGAGAATGTACTGTTGCAGTTGAAGGGTACTATTGTAAACTCTGTAAAAGTGGTAGTTGAGTCCTATAAATAGGGAACACTTGTAGCAGTACGGGAGGTTGGTGAATGAATTAATGAAACCCTAGTTTTACGTGTCATTTCCCTACACGCCCGCTTGTCATGTCTGTTTCCCGAGCCTCAGCCTGAGGGCAGTGCTTGGCGGGCGGAGGCCTCCACCTCCTCCACATTGTCTGAGACCGCAAGTCTCAACACTAACCTTAGTCAAATTAGCTAAACTTTAACTAAATTTATAGAAAAAAAAAGTAACAGTGTTTATGACACCAGATAGATGTATTATAAGAATAATATTTCATAATGAATACAATGACATCTATTTAGTATCATATAAGCATTGATATTTTTTATAAGTTTGATCAAGTTTAAATAATTTGACTCGGTAACCTTAGAATTATATTCTCACGGAGGTAGTATGTCTTTTCAACATGACAACAAGTAAACACGAGACACTTGGCTTTCCGTTCTAACCTTACTAGTCGTCAAATCACTTCACATTCTGTGCTCAACAGTCACCACGGGACACTTGGCTTCCCGTTCGTTCTATCCTTACTGCAGCCTGTTCGTTTCGGTTAAAACGATCGTGGATTATTACTGCTGACTGGTTTGGTGGGAGAAAAAATACTGTTCTAGTTTATAATCCACAATCGTTTACGACCAAACGAATATGCTGCTATTCGTCAAATGACTTCATACTATATGCTCAACAGTCATTATACTGTGCGCCTATGTGTCGGAAAGTCACGAAGGGAACGCGCCACAAAGTGACACACCGTTCGTGCCAAAAAATGTGAAAGAAACTGGGACAGACACGACTCACCAGCCGTATAACATATACGCAAACAAGACAGACTGAACAGCACCGCACGCACCAAAAGATTCTGAACAGTGCACATACCTATTTGATTTTATTTTTTTTGAACTCACATACCTATTTGATTTATACATATGTAAGGCCGGTCCATTCTGGCGTAATCAGTGTCACGTCAGGAACCAATTCGCAGACCTGGACCGCTCGTCCGCTCCCATATTCTGTAAAGGATGCCCATCCCAGTTTGCATCAGGCATCAGGCATCAAGCGCGCCCATCCTCACAAATTTACAGATCCTAGTTATTACTCGGGAGTGAACCGGGATCTCACCTCCACACTGCCAATTTTACAGAGCATCTTCACAAAGATATGCTAATCCCTCGAGCCGCAGCCCGCCGGTGGAGCACCAGCCACCAGGCCACCGCGGTGCACCCTCCTGACAGATCAATCAAATTCTAAAGAGGGTCGTCAGGGGCCGTCCAATTCTTTTTCGCCCACGCCTTGTTTAGACGCCATCCAAATTCAAGTTTTTTCACTCTCTCTCCATCACATCAATTTTTAGCCGCTTGCATGAAGTATTAAATGTAGGTAAAAAAAATAACTAATTACACAGTTTAATTGGAAATCACGAGATGAATCTTTTGAGCCTAGTTGATCCATGATTAGACAATATTTGCCAAATAAGACGAAAGTGGTACTATTCATCGGGTTCACTTTTTTTACAAAGTGAACGAGGCCTCAATTACATTTGACCAATATAATTTTTATTCTAGTGTGCCCTGGAAGCCAAACGCACAGCTGCACTCGTAATGGTAGAACTCTAGCTCTTCTGAGGGGGCAGGAATTTCTTGGTATTATGGTTAGTTTACAACAAAATCGTTTAGAATTTTTACACTGAATAAAACACCACTTATGCACCACGCCAATCAACCAAAATACTACATACATTAGAAGCATAGAAACAAGTATTATATAGCTGAAACTACTTGAAGAAAAGACCCTTCTTTCTTCCTCTTCTCCTCTCAATAGCCTGTGAAAGGTAGACATTTCACGTTAGTGTTGAAACAGTAGGCAGATATAAATGCACACATGATGCACCAGTTCAATTGCCCTGTTCGCTTGGCTGATAAATCATGGTTGAAAGTACTGTTGGCTGATTTGTTGTGAGAGAAAAATATTGTTCGTTGGCTGAAAAAGTACGGCTTATAAGCCAAGCGAACAGAGCAATATTAGCAATCAGCTTGCCATGTTTTTTCCACATCATCTCTTTAAAGGGTGGACGACACAAGGGGGTGATCCTGGAAGCACATGGGTGCCAGGTCACCATTTGTACGGTAAATACTGTAGTGCACTCTACACCGAGAGAACAAATTATCTGAAAACATGTAGGTTCAGGAACGACACGCAGTGGCATTTTGATCACATGATGGAGCTTTCTAGACGACTAGACACCATCTGTGATGATTAAAAGAACAATTTATTTGATAAATATCAGATGAGGCACTCCTTTGGGTGTCTTTCTCCCCAAAAAGAAATCCATCTATTTAAATAGAACTTCAGAAATGGTAACAGCATCCAAGTCAACCAGCACAGTCAATCATACAGAACACACTAACAGCAACTAAGTCAATACTTTTATAGTTGACTGCTAGTAGTGTTTTAGAGAAGAGGTGAATGTTGTGCAGTGCCATCAAACATGCTAATAATTTCAGGACAAGTACCACTACTGTTCAACCTGAGCTCTGGCACCAGTTAGTTTTTCAACTGTGAACTCTAGAACTAGAATTGTCCCATTTGCAACCTTGAACTATCAAGTCCGTCCACCTCACACACACAACTGTAAACTCTAGAATTAGAACTGTCCCATTTGCAATCTTGAACTATCAAGTCCGTCCACCTCACACACAGACAGACGCCACACAGAAGGTTTTCTGACTAAGTGCCCGCATAGCACCAAAATGGGTGATTGCTGCCGTGCTGGCTAACTCGGACATCATGTGAATGAGTTTAGACGATAGCTGTGTGTTACCCGAGTTGAGGCATTCGTAAGCACTCATGCTATAATGGTCTAGAGCGAACTGAGTTTCTTCTTAATGCGAATACATGCAGTTCTCCTTCATGTTCTTTAAAAAGAATTGAGATTTTTTAGGTTGTAAAGTGGAAAGTTTTATAGTTCAGTGTTCAAATCAAAGTTCAAGGATAATAATGGCAAACGTTTGTTCAAGGATATTCAAAAATTATAAATATAGTCAAATTTAAGTTTTCGACCTTCACAAAAATATTCAAACTTGGTATCAAAAAAGTCAAACGTCTTACAATTTGGGATGGATTGAGTATTACTCAAGAAGTCACAAGTTCTTGATACCCGCTTATTGTTGTTGAATGAGGATTAGCAATAAAGGGGGTCACTAATATGCTATGTTTTGTACAAGAAAATGTTTCGTACCATATTTTTGAACAACCTTAATACTAGAACAATGGTATCCCGCAACCTGCAAAGTTAGAACATGAAACAAGATAAGTTGTAAATGATTTATGTTCAGCATAGTATCAAAATTCCTCTAATATAAAGATCATAGCAATACAGTCACTTAAAGCATAAAGGGATTATCTAGTAGAGTACTCTGACAGCCCAGGGCACAGTACTTGGTTCTGAATGTAATTTGGGATATCTTAAATTAAAAGCCCATTATTTTTAATGGCATAACAAAATAGAATAACAATAAATGTTTTCCTAATCTGGGGGTATAGGGTCTCAGACCGCCATACTTTCAATAGTACAAAACATAGAAAGGCGAATTTCAACAGTGCCAATTTAAAGAAGTGATGGCGCATGTTGTTATTTTAAGACAATAGCAGAGATCGCTGCTGCTAATATATTTAGCGAAGTAGGAATGTACAAAAACTGTGCTGTTAATAAAAGAAGCAGACAGAGGCCTCATTTGGTACTCACAGTGTATTTTCTACTGGCTTCAGATTATAACTGACACCATCAGCAGATGCAGCAGATGTAATCGAGAACTCTGTTGGACGCCCATATGGAATATGAATCTGGATAGGGCATTACAAGATTTGTTATAAGGCGCACTTCATAAACATACAATATGCATGCACATGTTAGATCAATTATGTGAAATGGAAGCAGTTTCAAAGACAGTTGAAAGGCAAACAAGGTGCCAGACTAGAAACTTCAAGGGCAAAATATGACAAATTTCAGGTGCATATGCACTAGATATCACCTAGTGCACATGCACCCGAAGTTTGTCATTTTTGTATGAATTTTTTCAAAAAAAAACAATTTTGCATCTCTTTGCGACATATATATCTATGGCTTTTCCAAGTTTCATTTTTTTCCAAGCGACCAGAATATGTTTTTTTAATGAGTTTTCGAGTTTCCAACACTTGTCCGGTTTTCATGGGATATGCAGCCTTATGAAGATAGTGCCAACGTGGATGCCTCTCTGTACAACACTGGTTAAAAACTAAACTAAATTATTATTGCAAAATTAAAGCACAAGAATATACAGCATTCCAGTTCCTGAAATAAAGTATGCTGAAAAGTAGTGACATACAGCAGTTCCTTGCTGAAACTTCTCTGTGATAACAACACCACGCTGCCCATTACATTTAATGCTGTAACCTTCCCTCTTTATTGCCAACACAGCTGGTTCCCATATGTCTAAAAATCTGACCTGCTGTTGGGGAGTTCAATAGTTCAGATAGTTGTGTGACATCAGAAGAAAGTAAAAAGAATTGATGAGTGAATGTGTAATTGAAAAATGACAGAGCATACAGGCGGTTGGACTTGGACTTCGTAGGTCACATGCCCAATTTCAAGGGTTCTCTTAATAAGCTCCTTTGTTTCAGGATCTGCATCAAAGATGGTTACTCAAATTCTTATGCAGTGCAGCTACTATATAACTTATTATCTAGCATATAGGTATTAGGTACTCCCTCGATCCAAAATTATTAGGCATGCATACGTTTCAAAATTCAAACTTAGTAACTTCTGATCAACAATTATTCTAACTATACAAAAGTTCACTGACAAAAGTGGTACCACTTGATTCATATTTGAATGTGCATTCCTATGTTTAAGATTTTGTAACTAGCAGTGATACTACTAGAGAAAAGTATGGTCAAAATCCAGCTTAGAAACAATGCCAAGATAAGTCGCACCTTATAAAAAAAGACAGAAGGAGCATTACATATGGTTTACTAAAACAAAAAAAATACAGAAATACCACTGTCCTTGGGAATTAAAGAAATACAAGGAGATCAAATTGTCTCTTTAGCCACTCTTCAAACATAGTGATGGTGAGGCCTTCAAGTTTTTGCCCAATAGCCAATACACCACTAGTTATCGTAGTTTAAGACAGATCAACTGGATCAGCACATTGGATTAATATACATGAACTCAGCCAGTGTTAGATAGAACACCAAAATTGTCTTCTACTAGAGCTGGTCCTAAAAAAAGTGCTAAGGAAGCACCACATTATCTCAGGTGTTTAAGTTCCTCAATTTGCACTTTCTATGAGAAACTAAAATGTAAATGGAAACAACATAATCACAGTTCACTGTTACCAAAAACTCACCACATGAAATTTTTCTCTGGTCATTAGCATAAACCTTGATAAAGTCTCCCTGCAACAGAAGGTTTCTAGAAGTATTAACAGCAGAATTTATAGTAGGGAATCAGTTTTCTAAAAGCATTTTAACTTGCAGCATATATTAACTCATTTGACATAGTATATTGGTGATGGTAAAGAAAGAAATTTTAACAGAACAATCACTTCTGCAGAAATTCACTGTGGCTTTTTTTGGAGAGGAAGAAAAGAGGCAAATGGGGGACATTGTTTGATTACATGGCGTAAAGTTTGTCATCTCAAAGAGCTTGGAGGACATGGTATTCATGATCTTAAATCCTTTGCATGGGCCTTGAAGATGTAATGGCTTTGGTTAGCCAAAACCCAACCTGACATGTCATGGCCCTCCTTCCCTATACAAGTTCATGCTTCAGTCAGGGCCTTCTTCTCAATCACCATGGTTTCTGTTGTTGGTGATCGCAACTCCATTTTAATTGGCTGGAAGGGACGTCCATTGCTGGTTTGGCTCCTTGTGTCTTTTTCTCCCATTCCAAAAGAAGAGAGAATAGACGTACTGTGAGAGAGGCCTTTACAGATAACAGGTCAGGACATTAGCGGTGGTCTCACTGTTGCAGTCCTCTCTAAATTTCTTGATATTTGGGACCTCTAACCGAAGTGCAGTTACATCTGGATATACAGGATGAGCAATTGGGCACCATTGGAAGTTCACAGAGAATGGACAGTATTCCACTAAGTCGATATGTAAGGACCTCTTTAATGGTGCTATACAATCTGCGCCATGCAACTTATTTGGAAATCTTGGGCACCTAAGAAAGTAAGAAGTGCCAATTTTTTCTTTGGTTGGCAGCACATAGACAGACAGACTTGCCCGCAGGGGGGCTTGCCTCATCCGGCTCACTGTAGACTGTACACTGTGTGATCAAGAGCAAGAGATCTTCTGACAAACTGTATATTCTCCAGGCAGGTTTTGTACTATCTTTTTCATCATTTTGGACTGCCAGACCTCTCCACAGGTTTTGGATGAGAATTTCTGTGATTGGTGGCTGAGGATCAATGCTTTGGTCCAGTTGTTTGGAAGCGAGGATTGAAATCACTGAGCACTTTGGGTGCTTGGATGATTTGGAAGCATAGAAATGATTGTGTTCAACGGTTATGCACCCAGTGTCCAGGCAGTTTTGAGGATTTTTTTTGAAGAGGGACACCTTTAGTGTTTGGCTGTGTCAAGAGGGTTGTGCAGCTTCACCTAGAGGTCGCTACTGGTAGTTTTGGTCAGGTTGGTTGATGTAATGGACGTGTTGGTTATCTAAGCGTTTAGTGTGATGTTGTGTGTGTGTTCTTGTAAATATTTCTCCATCCTTCTTAATGCAATGATATGCAGACACGCAGTTCTCCTGTAGATTTGAGAAAAAAAAATCCAATAACCCAGATATCAAATGTCAGGATGATTCTGTAACATTGACTGCAACTTTCACTACACCCCTAGAGTTATGACGAACATAAAATTCATATGCGAACAAACTCAATTTAGTTTCTAAGTAATATTTTTTCCAGAAAAAGAGTTCCAGATGAAAACAAAATTACTCCCGTGAAAATCTTTTTCACACCAGCAAATGTGAAAAGCATGTCTCTTGGCAAGACATGTGGACCATTGACTATGCTAGATAAGTAAATAACCTAAAATAAAGGATAATCAAATGAAAAGAGATTAAGGGAGTCTCGATACCAGATTAAGGGATGTGGAGTCATAAGTCGAGATATCAATGTGAGGAGAGGTAGAGGAAGACCGAAGCTGACATGGGGGGAGGCAATAAAAAGAGATTTGAAAGGTTGGGATATACCTAGAGATCTTTGTTTGGATACGAGTGCTTGGAAAGCAGCTATTGACGTGCCTGAACCGTGACTAGGGGCTCATGTTGAGTTTCAACTCTAGCCTACCCCAACTTGCTTGGGACTAAAAGGCTTTGTTGTTGTAATCAAATGATTCCTCACTTTGGAAGTAACAAACACAGGTCCATTCCAGCAGAAAGAAATTGCAGACACGATTTTGGCCCAAATCATATTTGCATTCTGCTCTGAAGTGAATGGGAAAACGAAATCAATGGTATTTGTTGTAAATAATTCTGTCAGCAAGACCTATATGAGCAAGAAACGGATGTTCGTAAAAATTCACAGTGCCGTGAGCCACACGGCCAGGGCACCCCAAGTTTATCATTTGCTTTGAGTTAGTTTGGGTTGGTTTGATTTGTGGATGCTAGCTATGTGGATTGGTTTACGATTGTTGAGTGATTAACTTGGTTTGCTAGAGCCACCTCTATGTTAAGAGCACAGCAGAATATTAGAGGATAAAAAAGGAATTGTATCTGGTTGTTCAGAGGCACTAAAGAAGGCGAACACGCCATCTCGTCCCTGCCTTTGTTTTTCTTGAATATGCAGGAGATATCATTGCATTAAGAATTTATAGAAATACAATGCACCCAAGATATTTGGCTAGTTTGGCGGGTTGCAAAGGCAGGGACGCTGTATTGACTTACAATGACAAAAGTGATCAGGTAATTATTTTTTGATATTTTCTCATTTATGCCTTTTACTCATATTGATGGGATTAAGAGCTGAAATTGCAGTAAGGTCCCTTTTTCTGAGACCAGTCCTATGTTAGAAAATTTCGTGATACTATTGCATTCTATTGCAACAATTATGTTTGGAAAGAAGTACAGCATCGTAGAACAAAGATCGATCATATGACAAGATAAGTACCTTTCTTTTCCTATCATCTAGGGGCTGGACTTCAATGGCTAGTAAAGTGTCCACATCATCGGCGGTAACGACATAGCTAGGCTGCTTTGCTCCTACATCAACAAAAATATAATTACAAACAACTTTATGAGGCATCATGACATCCTAGTTTTAGGTAGCTCGGTCACAGAACATAAGCTCTGGGTTAATGTATCAGCACACAAAAAAGAAGAGAAAGGGTACCTTCTATGAAATTCACGGAGCCATCTTCTAAATGGCGCACCCACTGCAGGCACAAATCATTTGCAAGAAGTGAAACCATATTGAAAGTTTGGAACTCACAATTTTAAGTGATGAGTTTGAAAAATCATTTCGCTACTCGGAGTGTGGATTGACAAGTCAAGAAGTCAAGCACACCTCAAAATTACAAGTTGTGGTACCATTGGTGGGGTATCCACTTGCTTGAAGTTCTCGTCCAGGAAAAGGTTCACCTGTGATTCGAAGCCCTTCTATGCCTGGCAATGGATCATCCTCTGCAGCTGTATGTTCATAATAGGCATCTATTAATATTATCAGATGAATGTAGTGTTAAACAATACAAACTTAATTCAATAGTAATTACCTTCAGAGAAAGAAGAACCAGGCTCCTCAAGAACTGTAGGAAGATAAGGATATGAAGGGTTTGCATCCTCAAGGCCAGATACCAAATTAGATGAGTCCCCTGGACCCCATCGAGTAGAAGGTTCTTGTGTGTTTTGGGCTTCAGCACTCTCTGAACCATCCAGTACATCATTTCTGCTAAGACCCTTGAATGGTGGGTTTTGACTTTGAGTCTCAAAGTCAAAATGAACAGCATGGGAATCACCTTGAGATACTTGAGTAGGAACATCAGTCCTATATTGGTTTCTGAAAAACATAAAAAAAAAATCATATTGTATTAGCATTTTAGTCATGACTCAAAATTAACTACGCAAAATGGTTTCCTAAATCTTTCATAAGAAAAGTTAATGTTATCGAAAATAGTGAAACAACAATATGAAGGGGGAAAGGGAAATTTGCTAAAAATAATGTCAGATACTCAAGAAGTATTCATAGCTGTAGGTCTGTAGCATGCTCAAGAAACTACAACACTGGTCCAGAAGTAAGTTAGTAAGGTACATTATTTTAGACTCCTACAAGAGATGCTACCTGCTTGAAAGAGAGGTCCCTCCCATGTCATCATGTCCAGCATTTCTTGTAGGAACCTCATTTGAAATATCTTGATGGTTTTTGTTACCAAATGCACCCCAATCACCTCTAGCTTGAACAGGGGAAGACATTGGGGATTGTACGTGAGGATACACTGTCTGGGGGACAATATCAAAGCTGCTTTTGCTCTGAGAAAGCAAAGAAGTTGTAGGAAGCACATGACCATGTGTTAAAACTTGACAGAGTAATGGAAGAATATGTATATATACTGAAGAGTCATATCATACTGTAGTCACCAATGCTTTTCCAGCAGGAGGATCAGTAGATACAGGATTGCTGGTATTATTCGACAATTCAGTATGCCATGGAGTAATCTGGTATCGAGACTCCCTTAATCTGTCCTGCATCATCCAAGTTTGCATACAAGGCAACTTCAAAGTTCTGTAAGAAAAATATCGGTACTAAGTGCAGAAAACATGACAAGCTCACTACTGGTACGGTATGTCATTTTGTATAAATGCATATTTTTGGTAGTTTAGTGTGGCTCACCTCAGTAACAATAAGTCGCTCCTGCAAATGCTTAAACAAAACCTACAGGGAAAGGTAAAAACGTTAGAAAATGGATAGCTCAGATACTGGTTTCAATTGAATTATATTAGATACAATGTAGAAACAATTTGGTCGCAGGTAATAAAATTTTAATTGATCTCAGATTGCTTTGTATATGATTAACGCATGGCATGCTATGTTTGTTGAATACTTCGTACAGGGAATAGAAAATGTATAGCACTTAAAACAATTTCGTCTTTTAACCTTATTTTCCCTTGAAATCCAATATAAAGTAGGAACAATTGTGATGCATGATAAATGACAGTACTCTTGCCACAGCACATACAAGAAAACAGAGCATACCTTTAAATTACTAACAATTGACTGAGCATCGAGAACTGAAGGCTGGAGGTCATCATATTCAGATAGAAGAGGAAGCAAAGAAGATATGAAAATTGATCTTTCTTGTTGGGCTGCCTGGACAGTAACATAAGTAACACTTAGGATCGTTTCCATTTTTTTATTAGTAAATCCAAACAATGAACACACCATGAGATAAACTGATATTATTACTGTCCAGGAAAGAAACTTACATCAACATTAATAACAACCAACCCAAGCATGTGTATGGAAAGCACCTCTTTATCTTACACTTTTTTCATCCTAGTTTCATGTAAAAGTGTTCACTAGGGGGTGCTATGTTTGGAATGTGAGGGCTTATAAGCTGGTCCCTAAGGGTGCGTTTGGGAGCGCTCCATGGAGCGGATTCTCGAAGAGAATCACTCCCCGGCTGCCAAACGGTTTTTTCAGAGTGAAGTGATTCTCTGCTGATTCTGTGAAGTGATTCTCTAAAATGAACTAAGAGGCTGAGAGCTGAAAAAGTAGCTTCTCCTGATTCTGTGAAGTGATTCTCCATAGTGATTTTAAGAGTTTATGCTAAAGAATCAAAGAGAATCATTTTCAGTCTCAGAATTACTTCACCAGAGAATTAGGGAGCGCAACTGGAGAATCAGGGAACACAGCTCTGCCAAACGGACCTTAACATTTCTTAACTTTTCATACCAAACTAAACCCGTCGCACTAAGACCTAGGAATACATGGGCCAACATTAATATTAACGGGCTGGGGTATTGAAAATAGTTTCCATAAGAAACGACTGAACCACACAGCATTAATGTACAAGCCAAATATAGCTCTAGAACCTAGTACATGTTACGGTGATATCTCAATGTATAATGTATTTATAATTGAGGCACAATCATGGCAATGAATCATCCTACCTGGTGGTTAAGATGAAATAGTAAAATACGGTTGTTCGATAGAAATCATTTGGTATTCAGTCTACCTTCAGTACTAAGGAAAGACAACACAAAGAATCCCTACGCCAAACACTTGTGTCAAGGAGCTACAAGCAATCACGTGTTCATAGCTATCTTCAGCTACTGCAATAAAGATTTGGCTATACAAATAAAGAATGTGTTGCATTCCGACTTGAGCTTGTACCATAGAATCGGCTCAAATTTTAAGTAAGCACTGAAATTGAACATTCAGACTTTTGGCAACAGAACATTTTTTTTTCATGCTACAACAGAAGTCATGCTATGATCATACACATTTAAGGATATTTTACATAAGCGGGATGTTTAATTAAGATGGAAAACATGCATAAGAAGCATCAAGCTTGTGCATATTTGATATTCCAACTGTGAGCTGAGAGTCAAACGAAGATACAATTATACAATCCATTATATAGCGCATGAAAGCTACCTGCAACGCATACGTGAGACGGATGTTTTCCTCAATAATGTCTTGCCTGTATGACAAAGCTTTTGATGCTGCATCAATTAAATCTTGCTGCTGCTGGTCAAATGCCTGAAAACAACTATTAAGATGAGATGATAAACACATTCCAAGGAACTATTCACTTCCGATAGAATGAACATCTTACCATACGCATATAAGAAATCCGTTTTTCTAACTTGTATTTATCATCGAGTATCTGCGCTTCCTGTCAGGAGTTGTTTGTGGTCAACAGAAGCTCAAGAAGGAAAATACAGTAAAGTGGCCTTCACGTGTGAAAAATGTTTTACCTTCACAGAGTAATCAGCAAGATGCTTTCTTAATTGTGCAATCTCTTCTTCCCCTTCTTTGACCTTAACAGTAAGGTCCTGTGTAGGACCTATCATTCTTAGGAACAGCATATCATAGGTATGCAGAATTGCGGATGGCGCTGAACGAGAACTAATTTACCTGCTTCCAGGATATGTTCGAGTTCATCTCTGAAACTGGTAATAACCTAGAATCATAATCTCCATCTTTTCTATGCCTGTAATGAACCTTTTATATCTTATAAAGCAACTAAAATACCATCCCAAGACAGAAACATAGACATGTGCTACTTTACCTATTTGGAGAAAGGGACCGAGATGAGGGAGTAGAGAATTGTGATGGGCCACCACTATCAACAGCAGTCTGTTCTCCTAATGATCTTTTAAATGCTCCATTTGCCTGGGGACTGTCAAGGTATTTTTGTTTCAAGCTTTCCTGAGTCAGAGGCTCTCTACTTTCAAAACTTCCATTCTGACGATGGATCAAGGTACTTTGAGGATTTACTGAAGAGCTGAAGCCATCCATTTTATTAGAAACAGAATTGCGCTCTTGACCTAATCCACTGAAAGAACTTTGGGATGTAGCACCTTCGCTCTGAAAAAAAAGGAAGCACATTCCAAAAAAACCACTTGATGCCCACGAATATGCCATAGAGGTACAATTCTAGATGTTATATGTCAAGAAAAAGTTGTGGTTTTTCATCATGACGCAATGAGACAAGCTGCCAAAGCTGATTACAGCACAGGCTACAGAGCCATTATTTTCAAATAAAACAAATCTATTGGTATGTTTGATACAGAAATATAAACATATCGAAAGCTCTAGTCAATGCAAGTACCATCATATCCAAAAAAGATTGTGGTAAAAAATGCTAGACTGTGTTGCTCTGTTGCTCCTTACACCAAATTTTCTTTTTAGAGAAAAGGTCTCCCAAGCTTTATTTCAAGGAAATAAAGCGCAAACGTGCAGGTTCTTACAACATATTCTAGGCACGTCCGCCAAAAGTATCTAGGTCTTTTACACCAATTTCGTGGAATAAGATGGTGGGAAAGACTGCCCCAGTACTAGTGCCCCCATGGTGTTGCACTAAGAAGAAACTCTCAGTCAAACTGACCGAGAAGACTATTTTGGTAAAAGAGAACATGGTAAAACCAGTCACCTCGAATGGAACTTAACAGATTTCATCCTAAGCTTTGCCACTAAAAATTTTCTGTGGGCATAAATCCAAAAAAAAACGTAGGTAGCAAGGAAGGTACATGACATCCTTGAACTTCAATAGGATGGAAATGGTAGAACGAGATCATGGTGTGAAGGATATTATGCCTCTGGTATTACCATAAGGATTTAAATTCTGCATGGAACAGAAACAGACTTACCATCCTCTGTAGCTGTTGTGTTTTCCTCATCAGCTCTTCCTTGAGCCGGTTATTCTCTTCCAGCTGAAATGGAATAAAACCACACGAAAAAACAAAATAAGCTGGTATTTATTTATTTATTATTACATTTTGGTTGTTGGGACAACAAACGAACCGAAACTGGTGTGGGTTAGAGGTGAAGCGATGGAATTCGAAGAGACGGAAGGAAGGGAAGCGGGGGATGGAGCAGTTACCTGGCTGCGCATGGTGGCCTCGGCGCCCTCGACGGCGCGCATGACGCTGACGAGGTAATCGGCGCTAGGCACACCGGCGGCGGCTGCGGCGGCGGCGGCGCTCTGGTCCGCGGTGTCGGAGAGGGATGCCGCGGCGAGGCCGTCGGCGAGGCGGTCCATGGGCGGGCGGGCGCGACGTGAGAGCTTCCCGCAGCGTAGCGTAGGGTTCGGGGTGCGGCGGGTCCGAGACTCGTCTCTAGTCGGTACTCCACAGTGGCTTTTGCCGGTGGAATTTCGCGGAAGGAACCGAAGCCAGCGGTGGTGGTGGACTGGACGCGACCCGCGGGCGAGCGGTGCTGCCGCGTGAGCGTGAGGACGGAATCGATTCGAAATATGGAATCGGAGTAGTTATTTCGAAAAGAAACGTGGAGCCGAATGGTGGAATTGGTCAGCCGCCGGGGACGGGGCGGCCGCGGGCGGACGTGGGGGTCACCGGTCACGGGTGCCGCGCGGAGGATGGAACCTTGGTGAAAACGACGGGGAGGGGAGAGGCGGGGGGGTTGGTGCGCGCGGGCGCGGCGGAGATGACGGTGTGACTGCGCCATGGATTTCATGATGACGAATGCAATGAATGTGAATAGCTCTCATTCGATGCGCCCGTGGCAGTGTAGGGATGACAAGGGAATGATGGTCGGCCCTCTCTCGCTGTGCTTTACTCGTCTTGCGCCTGGTTTAAAACCGGGTTAAAGGTTGGAGTGTGATATTAGGTGTCACATTAAAATATTATACGAAAGTATTTGAATAGTAATAATAAAATAAATTATAAAAGTCCACGGTACTCTGCGAGATGAATTTATTAAGTCTAATTAATCCGTCGTCAGCATATGTTTATTGTAGCTTTACTGTATCATCACATTGTCAAATCATGGACTAATTAGACTTAAAAATTTATTTTGCAAATTAGTCGTAATATGTGCAATTAGTTATTTTTTAAGTCTATATTCAATACTCTATGTATGTGTCAGTCGTAATCTATACAATTAGTTATTTTTTAGTTTATATTCAATACTCTATACATGTGTCCAAATATCCGATGAGATATGAACTAAACTTTAGGATGAGAAACTAAATAAGCATTGGTCTTGCATTTCCCCAGGAGCACGCGGGCTTCATCTTCCCGTCTTGAATCAGCACGTCCATTATTGACGAAATCTCCGAGAGAGCTCAAAAATCTCTCTCCATATGAAATCTCCTTTGCAATTGTTGCCATAATAAAGAAAGAGAAATGCTAAATGAAACTTGTATTCCTCTCCCTCTCAATACTCGATTTCTCTCCATCTCCCTCTCATTCTTCTCTATCTCCTATCTCTTCTCCTCTTCTTCCCCAACTCCGACGGGCTTAGAAGGGGCTCGGTATGTCACCCAGTAGGAGGGCGGTGGTTAGGGTTCCAACGGCGTAGGAGGTGGTCGGGGGCAGTTCAGGGGGGCGTCCATGGCCATGACGGCGGCTGAGGAAAGGGAAGAAGGAGGTCGCCACGGGCGCGGTAGGGTCTCGTCGGAGCTCCACGGCGGCGGAGCTCTTGCTAGACCCTATCACGCCACGGCGGGGCGGTGGGCGGCGGTGGAGCGTTGGGATGAGGAAGAAGGTACGGAGGGAAAAAATCGAGTGCTCGGCACCGGTAAACACATGCAATGCAAGTGCTGGATAGACAACTCCTAAAGAGAAGCTATTAGCTTACTCCTATTGAGTGGTTGATAGAAGGGTTATTTGGATCTAGACCATTACAATTCTCCAAGTTTTGAGATACGACATTACAATTCATTTATTCGAAGATCTGCCATTGTAATTCGATCTCTCTCTCAACTATGTCGTTTTCTACACTAGCCGCGTACAAGGGCCACTGTCAGACGTGTATACCTACTAGAACACGTATAGGAACACGTATGGACATGTACAGCCCAGTGGGCACGAGGCGGAGCGATGGTAGAGCGACGACGCTTGCTGCGGCGGCCAGCGCGCGAGGGAGGAGCCCATCAGCGTGCGCCTGCTCAATCTCGTCGTTGCTGCCTCCCTCCCTACCGTCCTGCATCTCACCTGCTCAATCTCGCCGCCGCTGCCTCCCTCCCTCTTGTCCAGATCGTAGCCAAGGTGTGTTGCATCTTCACGGTGAAGACGGTGGCGTCCTTATCTCCCACGTCTAACACGTGGGTCGTGCTGCACGCCGAGCACGACGTACAGGAGCAAGTCCCCGATGGCCTCGTGGATAAGGGAGTTGGCGACGAGGCCGTAGCGCACGACGCTGCCCATAGCGCTGGTGTCCAGCGGCTCCACGGCGCCGCCCATCTCTGCAGGCAGATCAAAGGATGAGCCACCGACCCACCGTCGATGTTGATGTGCTCTGCTCTGGTGCACGCAGGCAGAGAGAGAATCCAGGCCAAAGAACGGATTTTTCTTTTTGTACGGTGGTGTACCTTACCTGTAATCCAGGAGAACCAAGCAGAGGTGGGCGCGGCGGAGAGCGCGACGACGGTGATCTGCTCGGGCGCCCAACCCGTGACGCGGTGCAGCACCTGCGGGTCCGTGTCCGATAGGTCCACCGCGTGGCCCATGTCCCTGACCACCACCGTCGAGTGTAGGATCCGTCTCGTGCGCCTGGGCGCGGCGTGTCCTTGACCTCCATGCGTGTCGTGGCCGCGATGATGAAGAGGGAGGACACGCGGGAGAAGACTGCCGTGGAGGCCAACGCCACGGCTACGGCCACATCGACGACGGCAATGGCGATGGCCGCCGCGTCCGTGGCGAGGTCGTCGAGTAGGGCGGGCGTGGTCTTGGCGGCGTGGGCTGGTGAAAGCTCTAGATTGGTTTTGGTGAATTGATGAAACCCTAAGTGCTAACCTAGTTTATGAAAGTGATTATGAGATAGGTAGCACTACTCCAAGTGGTGAAGCAAATGAAGATCGTGACATGACGATGGTGTTGCCATGGTGATGATCAAGTGCTTGGACTTGGAAAAGAAGAAAGAGAAAAGCAAAAAGCTCAAGGCAAAGGTGAAATTGATACAAGATTTTTGGTTTAAGTGATCGAGACACTTAGCGAGTGTGATCACATTTAGGATCGATAGTCGTACTATTAAGAGGGGTGAAACTCGTATCAAAATGCGGTTATCAAAGTGTCACTAGATGCTCTAACTCATTACATATGCATTTAGGATCTAGTGGAGTGCTAACACCCTTGAAGACATTTTATGAAAATATACTAACACATGTGCACAAGGTTATGCACTTGGTGGTTGGCACATTTGAGCAAGGGTTAGAAACTTCACCGGCGGAGTGTCCGCCCGTAGAGTGCGGACAGTCCAACGATGCCACCGGTGCCCTGTACAGAAAAGATAGGGTTTCACAGAGTGCATTGAACGCTGGTCTCAACTGGACCGGAGCGTCCGGTCAGTGGAAGCAGTAAAGACGCTGGCGTCGGTTTTCGATCGACGCTAGGTCACTTCGTGACCGAACGCTAGTGGGGCGCGTCCGGTCCTGCTGACGTGGCAGCGCACAGAGGAGACAGTGAGTGACCGGACGCTAGGTGAGTCCGGTCGGGCATGACCGGACATGTCCGGTCGCGAGTGGAGGCTTACTAGAAGTGACCGGATGCTAGGGTCTTGCGTCCGGTCATAGATAGAATCTTATTAGAAGTGACCGGACTCGTTGGGATCAGGCGCTCAGTATTTGAAGAGAGGGAAGGCGTGGCAGCCATCCGTTGACTGGACGCTAGCAGGGTGCATCCGGTCGATCTAACCGGAGCGTCCGGTCACCCCAAGTAGTGCCTAGTGAAGGGGTACAATGGCTCTATTTTGTGGGGGCTTCTATTTAAGCCCCATGGCCGGCTCTAGCTCACTCTCATGGCCATTCGCATTGACATAACAACCTTGTGAGCTTAGCCAAAGCCCTCCCACTCATCTCCATCATTGATTCAACATCTTTGTGAGATTGGGAATGAATCCAAGTGCATTACTTGAGTGTTTGCATCTAGAGGCACTTGGTGTTTGTGTTTCGCTATGGGATTCGCTTGTTACTCTTGGTGATTGCCGCCACCTAGATGGCTTAGAGCAGCGAGGATCGTCGAGCGGAGGTTGGTGATTGTCTTTGGCTTTGATCGTGGTGATTGTGAGGGGTTCTTGACCTTTCCCGGTAGAGAGCCAAAAGGTATTCTAGTGAATTGCTCGTGGCTTGTGTGATCCTCATCTTGTGTTTGTTGTGCGGCACCCTATTGAGGGCTTGGCGTGTGATGCCAATTAGCGCGTGAACCTCCAAGTGAGTGTATCGCCACAACGAGGATTAGCTTGCCGGCAAGCAAGTGAACCTCGGTAAAAAATTATTGTGTCATCATTTGATTCCGAGGTGATCGGTCTTCATTGGTATTTATTCTTGTGATTGATTGATTCACTCCTCGACTCGACGGTATAACCATCTTGCTCACTCGCTCTACATTACCGTAAACTAGTTGTCAAGCTCTTTAGTGTAGCTAGTTGTGAAAACTTGTTAGTTTTGTTAGTGTGGCTCTTTAGTTAGCCTTTGAGAGCACACTAACTTAGTGTAGTGACATAGCCATTGTGTGGATAGAAACTATATAAACTAGAATTGTGGTAGGTGGCTTACATTTTTAGTAGGCTAGCGCAACACTTGCTTCGCCTCATAATTGTCTAACCGGTTTGCTAAGTGTTGTTGTAGAAAGTTTTAATAAGCTATTCACCCCCTCTAGCCATTAGGACCTTTCAGCTGGCTCCTCCCAGCATAGCGCGGCGCGGGCCTTGGCTTGGAACACGACCACCATGACCAAGGCGTTGCGGCGGCGGCATGGCGTCCGGTGGGCCGATACATTGTCCATACGTATTCTTGTACGCATACGCCTATGATAGTGGGCCCTTATACACAACAGGCGTAGAAAATGGCATATATGAAAGAGAGATAGAATTATAATTGCAGATCACCAAATAGACGAATTATAATGGCGTATCTCAAAACTTCAAAAATTGTAATGGCCTAGATAGAACGGTATATCTGTGTTTTCTAGTGATAGAATGGTAAGTGTGTAGAAAGCGTAGCTAGCGGTGTGTAATATAGTTTTGTTTTCTGCGTCTTGCTCCAGATAGCAATGATTAGTTTGTACAAGGGCTAGTGTGTAT